TTTCTTGCTTTATTACCTAATTTAGCAATTGATTTAGCGAAAATTTTTAAACGCATTGAATTTGAATTTACAAAAATCAATTTATTTACATTTGTATGTTAAATACATTCCAATATAATCATAAATATTATTTTTTCTTCTTCTTTAGGAAGCCGTAAATACAAAGGTTATACTTGATGAAGTTCTTAAACGAAGGATCGAAACTGAACAACCGAACCAATCGATGCAAATCGAAACAATAACAACTACAAATCCGTTTGATAATGATACAGAATTAGACGATTATCGAAAATTATTCATCGTACCCAGATTAGAAGAACTTCTATCTGGAAGCCGGCCAATTCTTCAAAAAAATATCATTGATGGAGTTTACGATAATCCTCAACACTATCTCAATGTAAGTATCATGTTATTTTATTTTTCGTTCAAAAGGTTTTCTCTTCATTTAGATTCATTTTCGTCTATTACATGAAGATTTTATTGGTCCATTACGTGAAGGCATTCAACAGTATTTGTCTGGATCACAACGTAGAAATTATAATATACACATCTATGAAAATGTTTATTCATACGGCTCAAAATTAAATCCTCGTTCTGGTATTGTTTACGATCTTTGTTTGGATAGACAAAGGGTATCGAGAATATCGTGGGCAAATAGTCGACGATTAATATATGGAAATTTATTGGTATTAAGTAATGATAATTTTCAAACATATACATTTGTAACGATTGACAGTCGAGACCAGATTGAGCGGACATTCTGTATTTCTGTAAGTTTTATATGTGGATTAACTTATTTTTTTTTCATAAAATTATATTTAGGTACGAAAACTTGAAAATATCAATAATTGCAATCAAGGTCAAATTGATCTTGATGAAATTGATTCTTCTCGTCCATTAACAATAATTGAAACAGCAATTTATTTTGAAGCATATCGACCAATTCTCAATGTTTTACAAACAATTCCTATTGATCAAACATTTCCTCTCGAACCCTTTATTTTAAAATTAAATAATGAAAATATTCCACCGAATTATGTTACTTCAACGACAACATATGATTTTACTCCACTTCTTATCGAACCGAAATCAAAAGTCAAAGGCGTTTTCACTATCGATAAAACAGAACTAATTCAAGTTGGTCGTTTTCGGTTTCGACGTTACATACGACGAATACTTAGCAAAAAATTTCATATAGACTATCCACAATCAGATCTAGTTCCAGAAAAATATAAATCAGTTAATATATTAGATACTAATCAATGGCCAACAAGCGATGAATTACATCTAAATCCGAAACAACACGAAGCATTGATGTCAGCATTAACACGTAAAGTAGCACTTATACAAGGCCGTAAGTCATATGTTGAACATTTAGATTCTATTTTAAACATTTTGTAAAACACAAACCCGGGGTGTGGTTGTGGGTGAACATAAAGTAAATACACCCACCCACACCCTCATCCACACTTACACCCGCCACAACTTTTTTTTCTTCATCTCTAGCACCCGGTACTGGTAAAACATATCTTGGTGTACGAATAGTAGAAATGCTACTGCATAATCGATCCGTTTGGTGCCCATCATCTGAGCAATCGACGCCTATTTTATTGATCTGTCAAACAAATCATGCTCTTGATCAATTTCTCGAACTAATTAAAAATCGGCTGAACCTAACCGAAGGTAAAATTGTTGTCTTCTAATGGGATTCTGAATTGATATTTGGTTTTAGGTATTATCCGCGTTGGTAGTCGATGTAAAAATAAAGCCATCGAACCATTTTTTCTATCGAATGCACGTAAATGTGCTCGTAATAATCGTTCTATACCGGACCGTATCTATCATCAAAAACAACCCACACTTGTGAAAAAGTTTGCATGCGATGCAAGTCTTAAACAAGCAAATTATAAAATCGAGCAGTCTCGATCAAATATTCTTCCATTTTCATCCTTCATCAACTATGATATTATTAATCTGAGACATTTTCCATCTTTATATGCTTCGGACGAAGAAGGTTTTGTTGAAACGGGTATGTTGAATTGGCTTGGTCTTAATGATGATTACGCAAATTATTCAGAAGAAGCACACCAAACAGAAACATATGAAAATAAACAATTCACCAAGAATGTTGATTGTATTGAGCAGAATGAAGAAGAAGAAGAGGAAGAACGACGTCGAGATGAAATTGAATTAAATGATGACTATTTCGGTTCACCGATTTTTAATAAATCAGAAACAAGAGATTCAAAGAAAATGACTGGTGAAAAAATAGTATCGATGAATGGGAATGAATACGAAAGACACGGTGTTACAAAAAAGCCTTATAATTATAATCAAGTAGTCCGATTAATTCTTGAACATCCAACTACACTGACTGACGAAACGGTTCAGCAGCTTCCGGATGATATTTGGGAATTAACGATCAATTATCGATATGATTTATATCGTTATTGGCTTTTAAAATATCAGAACCATTATCATAATTCTATTCGTAATGCTCGACAGGAATATGATAAAATTATAAGGAAACTTGCTAAACATTATCAAAACGAAGATTATTATATTCTTAAAGATAGTCTTATTGTCGCTATGACAACAACATGTGCAGCTAAATATCATGGAGTTTTAAAAAAACTTCGTAAGCAAAAACAAATCATACTTATTTAAAATTGAATTATTTTTGAAATTTTTCAGAAAATAAAATTGTTATTGTTGAAGAAGCAGCAGCAATCTTCGAAGCACATATTATTACTGCATTGACTTCCAAATGTGAACATTTAATATTAATTGGTGATCATATACAATTACGACCAAGTCCAAATGTTTATCATCTCGGTGTAAAATATCATCTCGATGTGTCTTTATTCGAACGATTTGTTAGAAATAATTTTCCTAGTGTTCGATTAAATATTCAGGTAAATAGCTGTGTAAAGTGACTCATCTAAATTCGTTTTATTTTAGCATCGTATGAGACCAGAAATTTCACATGTAATGAAACATTTCTACGATGATTTGGAAGATCATGAAAGTGTACTTACAGAACGACCGGACATTCGTGGTGTAGAAAATAGTGTTTTCTTTATCAGCCATGATCATATGGAAATGAATGTCGATGATGGAAGTTCGAAACGAAATGAATTTGAAGCGAGATATATTGTTGAACTCGCAAAATATTTCATAAAACAAGGTTATCGACCAGATCAAATCACTATATTAGTCATGTATGTTGGTCAACGACAATGTATAGCTAAACTAGCTAAACCAGTGGAACTTCTTGAAGGAGTTCGTATTATGGTAAGGCTGGATATGATTATTATTTTAAATGATCATTGATTTTCATTGCAGGTGACGGATAATTATCAAGGAGAAGAGAATGATATTATTTTATTATCATTAGTACGAAGTAATGCTGAAAAAAGGATCGGATTTCTTGCAATTCATAATCGAATATGTGTGGCTTTATCTCGCGCACGTTGTGGTCTTTTTGTTATTGGTAATATGAATTTGTTAGCAGAGGTCGAAGATATGTGGAAGAAAATTGTCGGTTCATTAGCTGAAAGAAATGCAATCGGTCAAGGTTTGTTTCGTTGTTTATTTAATAAAGTATTTCTATGTTTGATTAGTAGGGTTAACTTTATCATGCCACCAACATCCTGAAGAGAAATTTATCGCTGATACACCAAAATCGTTTGAGAAGCGGCCCAGAGGAGGTTGTAATAAACTGTGTATGATCCGCTTGAAATGTGGTCATTCATGTGAATCAGTGTGTCATAACGATGATATCGAGTACGTAGACAAACACAATAAACGATTGAATTATTAAAAATCGATTGTTTTTCTTCATTTCTAGACATATGAAAGTTGTTTGTCGTAAAAGATGCATTGATCGGTTACCATGTAACCATCAATGCATGAAAAGTTGTCATTATTCGAATCCGACTCAACATTATCCATGTCGGCTTCTCGTTGAAAAAACTATCACAGAATGTGGTCACAAAATAAAATATCGATGTAGAGAAACACCGACTGTTCAAGATTGTCAAGAGCTAACTTTAAAACATCTTGTCTGTAATCATGTTGTAGAACTTCCATGTAATACTGCTTCGTCTGTCAAAAAATTAGAACGCTTCTCTTGTCCAATATCGTGCAATGATATACTAGCATGTGGACATAAATGTAGAGGCACATGTGGTCAATGTCGATCAAAACGTTTACATATTCCATGTGAAGAAAAATGTACACGTAAATTAATCTGCTCACATGTAAGTTTATTTGATGTCGATGAATTTAATAATGAGAATTGAATTTTAATTCAGGCTTGCAAAGCATCATGCACGGCGAATTGTCTACCTTGTACACGCAACTGTGAAACATTCTGTGTTCATTCAAAATGCCCAAAGCAATGTAGTGACCCATGTCCACCATGTCGAAAGGTGAGTATCGTTGTTTGAAAATGCTCAACTTCAAATCGAATTTTCGATAATAAAAGACTAACAACCTATTGTTTTTTTGTTGAGGAATAGGATAATAAACCTTCAGTGAGAAAGCAAAAATCGGTCACTCTATTTCTCGAGTTGCAATCATAAATTGATATTTTTTTAACGATTGTTGGCAAATTTCGAAGTGAAAATGCAGAGCATTCTATCATTTATTAACATGTTTTTAGCCATGCATGTATAAATGCAAACATTCTCGATGTACTCGTTTATGTTCAGAACCGTGTAATCGTGAACCATGTGATAAGCGATGTGATATAAAACTGGAATGTGGCCATTATTGTAAGTATATGACGCGATCAGTCGAAAAACGATTCATTTTGTATTTGCTCATTCGAATTCAATGAAAATCTAGGCATTGGTATTTGCGGTGAACCATGTCCAAAACAATGTCGAATTTGTGACAAAAGTGTCGTTCAAGAAATATTTTTTGGTAGAGAAAACAAGCCCAATGCATGCTTTGTTCTATTACCGGATTGTAAACATTTGAGTATGTTACTGAAATTTTGATTTTCAATGTAATTTATGTATGAGTTTTTAGTTGAAGTAATAGGACTCGATAAATGGGTATTTGATTCAATCAATAATTCAACAGATAGTAAAAAAATTCGTTTTCCTGAATGTCCTCGATGCAAAACTCAAATTCGTAAATGTATGAGATACATGCCAGTTATTAATCGACTACAAAATTTAATAGAACAAATGAAAAAGAAAATCTTGCGCAGTCAGTCTGTATATGAGATACAAGAAAAGCGAAATCATATTATCAGAGAATATAAAAATATTCGAGCAAATTTAAAACAAATCGAATATTCACAAATAACATCCCTCTTCTCGATATTAGTCTCAGGAAATTTTCTTCGACATGAAATATTAATATTAATGGAGAATACCCTTATTTTCATCAAAACCATCGACGATCTTTTAAACAATGGCAAGAAAATGTTAACTATTAATGTATTCAAAGATCAAGTATGTTATATTATTTCGTAGATTATAAACGAATTTTTCGTTGTTATAGATTCACGTACCATTGATGTATATTCTTAAATATATCTCAGTTCATAAACAATATCGAAACTTTTCTGAACAACAAATTCAAGATATTCAATCTGAATTCGAACGTATTCGTTGTGTGATTATTTTCGAAATATTTGTCGCTTTATTGAAACAACAAAATCCAAAACGTGATTTAAAACCAAATGAAATAGATTCAATTGAAACTATCAAAAAGCTTGTTAGAAAGTCGAGTCGTTTTACGGAAATTAATAAGAAAGAGTTTTACTATGAAATAGAAAAAGTTAAACATTTAAATAATATACCTGGATTGGGAATTAATGAACGAAAAGCAATTGTTACTGCATGAAATATAAGTAAAGGGCACTGGTATGTTTGCCCGAAAGGACATCAGTACCACGACTCTAAGAGTGAATAGAAAACTAAATATTAAATTTTTTTCTATAATATTTATTCAATAAAATATAATAATCATGATACTATCAACAGAAATTGTCATCGATTCTGTTAGTCGGGTGTGGGTGTGAATATTCAGCTATTCAGATAAGTAACGAAAAGTGAACATTATTATAGATAAAAACGTGCACGTTCATGCTATATGAAACCACACTTATTTCCACAAGCATATAAACTTTTATTGTTCATTTTCATTATTTGTTGAATTTCTCATTCAAAGTGTTACAGTGATGTCGCACATAGATGTATTCTTTCATTAAAAATTCTACTGTTTCGTTTCATATATATATCTAATAGATCAGATGTAAGTACTTTCAACATCAACGTACATACATTAAAACAAAAAAAATACCGTTTCAATTATTAATTTTGCTTTTCTCTCTATTGCAATTGTTCATGATTTTTTTATATCCTTTGATCCTCCATGATGTATAATAGAAGTTATAACAACTATTAAGCTATTGGTTCTTTCTTTATCGTTGATAAACGAATTATATACACTTTTTCTCTTTCTTAAAAGGTCATGCACGTCGATTCGTTTATACTTTCTTTTCATTTGTTATTCTGTTTTTGTTATAAAATCAAATGGTGAAATATCTTCTTACTGGTGTAACTGGTCGTTTGGGTTCACATGTTTTAAAACATTTTCTTCGTCTTGTACCACCATCTGATATTGCAGTTGTTGTTCGTGATCCATCAAAACTTTCATCAGAGATCAATTCATCTGGTATCGAAATACGTCAAGGAGATTTTAGTAAACCAGAACTATTAGATGTTGCATTTAAAGATACAGAAAAACTATTAATTATTTCTGTACCAAGCATCGAACATGAATTTCGTGTTAAAAATCATATAAATGCAATAGATGCAGCAAAACGAGCTCATGTTAAACATGTTTATTATACTTCACTTATGTTTGGTACTGACAATCAAGGACATCTTATCGATAGTGTTGCTCATGTAATGCAAGCTCATCTTGATACAGAAGTATATCTTGCAAAGAGTGGATTAACGTATACAATATTACGAGAAGGTCTTTATTCGGAAAGTTATTCTCTTTATACTGGATTTTTTGATCATACGAAAGACAATGAAGTATGCGTTCCTGGTGATGGTCCTGTTGCTTGGGTGTGTATTGATGATCTTGGTGAAGGAACTGCTAAATTGATGATTAACGTAAGTGATGAAATCATTCTAATTTCTATTTCATAAAAGCAAAATTAAATAGAGTGGTCATGAACAAGAAACTGTTCTTTTAACTGGTTCAACATCGATCTCCATTTCATCGGTTACTGATTTATTTGCCAAAATTCTTCATCGACCGATCAATTTTCGACTTGTTTCTGTAGACAAATATATTGAATTTCATAAGCGACGAGGTACAGCACCACCGTATCCTACTGGTGAAGAAGATTTTTTAAGAAAATGGGCAACATCTTTCAAAGCTCTGGAAAAAGGTGAATCAGCTGTTGTTGATCTTCTTTTACAACAAGTACTCGATAGAGATTTGGTACCGTTAGAAGATACTTTAACTAAGTTATTTAATTCCAAATAAACTTCGTAATGAATTATTATCTTATTAATCAAGAATTAGTTCTCTTATAAAAAAATATATTTGATTAATCTAGCAAAATAAAACATCGTATTACTTTCTATATTTTGTTACAGGTGACACTAATGTGTGCTGAAAGTAAGATGTATGAAGCTGTGTAGAGAAAATTAATGAACAATATCATTCATATAGGATTTTTTACTTTTTACATACAATAAGTGTTATTGAAAAGGAACATTACGTACGTTTTTTTTTTTGCAAAAAAATTGATAATAACTATCTTCAACATCAATTCTAAGTTTAAATGTTCAAATTTAGTCGATAAATATACATATAAAATGTAAACTAATTCATATATCTGTCGCATCACAATGATTAAAGAAAGTGTGTGATGAAGCTAGAATCATAAATGAATTACAAGGATAACTTTGGAAAGAACGAGAAAGGTGTGGGTGTAGGTTTGATCATGATGAAGCTCAAATCTACACTACACACCCACAATCTTATTTTTTCGTTCATCATCTCGTCTATTATATGGAGAAACAAACGAACGATTAAGCAAAGTCGTCTTTTGTTAAGAGTATCTTGAGCTGAGATAACAAAGGAGATTAAATCTCAGATAAAATGGCACTTTAATGATAGCATGCCTTCTTTTTATACCATCTTGAGGATGTGGAGATTATCTCTGTTAAATTCACACCGACACCCTTCAAATAACACTACAGTGGCGATATCCAACTTATATAAATATTTACAGGATTGTTAATGATAAATAAAAAACAGAAGATGATATATCTCGCTGTGGACCTATTGCTTTTTTTATTACAATCTTAGAAACTATTTTCCATATCATTTTAACTCTTAGTGCCTGTAAATACTTTCTCTTTTTAATAAAATATAATTTTAGCAAGATGTATGCATATAAGTGTTTAATAATCTTCTATGTTTTATTGTTTATCGACAATCGTCGTTGATTGATCAAATTGAAGTTCAAATTTGTCTTCACCTTGATACTTCTTCGTTTTGACATACCATTTACCATCGAATAATTGTCTTTGGGAATCCCATTTAAGTTGGATGATCACTGTATGTTCCAAATTCTGTGATGAATTTCCTGTACCTTTTTGATATTTTTTCGTAAGGCCAATTCGACGAGTATTAAACGAATATATACCATCGATAGAAAACTCACCGATATCGTCTTTTCCCGAACCTGTGACTTTTTGTTGTTCATGGTTGAAAGAAAGCGAAAAAAGATGAGATCCATGCCATTTTTTATATTGAAAATAACGACTTATCCATTGACCTGATGGGAAAAGACTGTTCGAGCTCTCCGCATTAGCCTTATTGCTAATTGAATCGACTTCATTAACGAATGTTACGTTTGACGGATGTGATGTATCATTCGATAGAACCCAATTGCGTATTAATACGATAATATATATTGCAAGAGATGTTGTACATATTAATGAAACTATAACAATGTAATTTTCATTTAATATTTTTACGAATTTATTCCAAAGGAGAACAATAATCTCGTTATCAGATATAACGACTAAAAGATAACAAATAGCATCTAAAAGAAAGGAAATAAATTTCAGATTTTGATTTGAAAAAAGATGTATTTCTTCAGTCATGTCAGTTTTCAAAGATGATTTCTTTTTCGAAACTAGATTAAGATATTATATCATTGAAATACATACATAATAGATAAATGATATCACTGTCATCATCACCACTGCTATAACTACCACTATCATAATTACCACTGCCATAATCATTACCTTCACCACCTTGACAATGGATACTGAATGTAAATATGGCAACGATTAATAATATATGAAAGATAATGTGCATTGTAAGACTGAGAAAAGATGTCGAAAATATGGAAATAATAACTGATGATCGAAATATGTCGACAAAAAACAATGATTGACTCTAAAAGACAAAAACATTATATATCCAATGGGTTTAGATGAATTAATATTAGAATTGTGTTGTTGTCTTGAAATTATATTCTCTTCTTATCAAAAATACCAACACAAATACTTAAGTGTGATAATGCACAGGTGATATTTATATGAGATCTTATCTAAAACATGTTACATATCATTGTAAGGCATGATAATAAATGGAAAAAACCCTGTTAAATTTCTTTCTTGGGAAGTAACTAGATCTTGCATACATGGTGTGCATATATTTCACTGTGGATAGTTCATCGATCCATCTAGATGAATAACAATTTGTCATATAGAATCCTATGTTTTTTGTCAAAGTCTTGAGGGTGTGGGTGTGGGTGTGGGTAACTAGTGTATTGTAATTCCTTATCTACACGCACACCCACACACATCCATACCCATACCCACACCCACACCCACACCCACCCCTCACTTATGCCGGTATGACCTATACATACGACTGTTGGAATGCATCTTGTCAGTCAGCTTGTAGTAGAGCAATGCAAGGACGATGCAACGGCCCGACCTACATTAGCACAAATTCTTATGCAAGTGATTGCACTCCATACACATATACGTGCCAATGGAACTGTGCGCTCTCCTCCGATCAAACTCCACCCTATGTATGTCCCGCTAATCTGACTATTTATGGTGATTCGTGTACATCAACGGCGTGCGCCTCAGCTTGCAATAACGCATATCCAGTAAGCTGCCAGTATGGTTTATATACCAATGCTTATTGCGTCAGCACTCCAGCACTTTCAAGTTCACCGACCACATCATCTAGCTTTTATAGTAGTAGTCATGGTAGCACTTCTTCAAACACGATGAACCGACCGCATATGAATCCAGTGATCTCTATCATCGGACTACTTTTCGCCATAAGCGCTGTCCAAATGTGCATGTGACTATTTATTTGACATTCAGACTGATCTAATACTATTCTAATCACGCATTAAATATATTTTTTCACTAATTATTAAACTAGAGGGTGTGGGTGCCAATAGCTACCAATATCGCGATTTCATCCTAGCTAGAGGAATCATCAGTTGACTTTATGGTTCATAGTAGCATTTATTTATTGTGATGATTGTAACATTAGTATTTATCCTCAATGTTATCTAGTTGTTTTGAATGCTATGTTTTATTTTCTTATGCGCTGTCGTTAATTTTACAAAAAAATAGCTAGTTGTTTTCTTTAGTTTATCTTGTCAGTTTTTGTTGGTTGATGTTGAAAAAGGCGGACATCTGTTGATGGCTGCTGTATGTAGTTGTCATTAGTTGGTTGTTTGATTAGTGGACGTTTACGGATTAATTCAATTACAACACTGTTGGAATTGCGGTTTCCAACGATCAGTTTGGTATGTGCAACCGGTGTTTTTTCAAAGTATTGGTTCCATATTTGGTGGATATCGTGTTTGCAGGGCGCCAGACGATTTTCATGTTTGTAATGAACAATGAGACAGGTAAATGGTTTCGGTGTTTTGTTCAGTTTTAATTGCACTAGATGATCGATCGGTTCAGTTAGTGATGTGGGAGTTATTTTCTTGGCTATACTAGACGCTAGTCTATGTGCAGCAATAGTTGGTTTGTTGAGTAGTAGTTTACGTATAGCTTGGAATTCATTGGTATCATCGAAAGTAGACCAAATAGTTGGATGTGTAGAAACCATAAAGGATGTATAGTTTCGTATGAACTTTTGGAATCGACTATGGACAAATCGTGGTGGATATCTAGAGTGGAATATTTTAGGATAGTTATTTGATGCGAAAGTGGCTCACCCATTATAAAGTAACATCAACTGAATAGTGCGGCGTTCGTCATTGAACGCTTCTAACGTTGACGAATAGCGCACTGCTCGAAGGAGAGTAGCATCGATTATATTGGCAAATACGTGTCGTGGATGGTCCGATTTAAACGGAAACCCACATCCAAAAAAGATAGTATATAATTGGATTGTCACCAATGTTTTAAAATAAAGATAGTCTAATTAAACATTTTTACTATATGTGTATGTATATCCTGACTCTTACTGGTAACGTCTAGGATGGAAAGAATATAAATATCAATTTTTACATATGAGCTGTTATAGAATATGTTTTATAGATAATTATATGCATCAGCACTTCATATTTGTTATAATTCATGCTCATTTTCTTGATTCAGAGCAAATGTATAGCTCTATACTACTACTTATAAACTTGTGAAATGCTCGACATACGAAGAATCATCTGCAAAGAACCAATCTATGCGATTCATAATGTAGTCTTCTTTACATAGATTAGAAGTATTTTTTAATTAAAAAACTGTAAAAACGCAGTTTTCTTAATCTCACATCTTTTACATTTGAGATTAAGAAAAAATAAGCTCACAATGTATTGAACATCATGATGACATGTCTTATTTTTTTCAAAATATGAATAAACATCATTTGATTAATGACGATGGGATCTTTTAATATCTTTAATGTGTTACTTTCGTTGATTTTACGATATTTTAGTTTTTTTCTTTTTGACCAACTGTTTGCTCAGCTGTTACTTGTTTGACACGATTTGTTCGTTGCAGATGAAATATCTCCAGAAAATCTGTTCGAAAGCTTTTACAGAAAAATCCGTATACTAAAGACAAGAAATACACAATATCTTATACAATGAAAAAATTCATTTTTTAATAAAACATACCGTAGAATTGAGTACAACAATAAGTATAAGTTAATAAAGGTTGAATAATAAAATTAATAAGTGATTCAATAGCCAGCCGTATTGGAGTTTTATATGATTTAATGGGAATTGTTAAAAAATTGTATAATGTACTACATGGAAATGGACATGTTGTTAAACAAAAAACTAATACTTCACCAAATAACATTTTGATCAAGTCATGATCACGTTTATGTATATGAATATCATGAGTTCTGTCACCACCAGTAGGTTGTACACGTGATCGAATCATTGTTAAATTATGTCGAGCAAGAAATGTAAATAAAATCATTAATGATGGAGGAAGAATTCCAATGAGTGTAAGCGAAAAACTTGTATAAGCTAAATTATATGATGGATTAATAGCACAGCGACCTGAACTATTGTCAAAAAAGAAAAGCAAAGGAATAGGTACCAGTATCGAACTTATGATAATAAAAGAAACGACACGAAGAGCTATTTTTGATTGAGAAAATGATCGAATTTTAATATTTTGTGAACAAAGTGCCCATCGATCAACACATGCAGCGATTACTAAAATGAAAATATTTATATTAGAAGTGACTCCTCTAACTAACTTACGGAAACATCGCGATGCCATAAACAAGACATGTCCTCCATACCATCGTAATTTACATAAAACATTTGATATGTGTATTGGTTCAACATGATCCAAACCATACAAGGATGAAATAAGCACAGTGTTAATAACAAACCAATTAGCAAGTGCTGCACAAAGTAAATAAAGTGCACATGAATTAGCTCGTTGCTTCAATGTGCGTATCAATATCCATGTTGTAAAGAAATTACCAAAATTACCAAGTGCAAGTAATATTGGTATAACACAATGACCTAACTGTAATCGAATATTGCTTATTGTTGCTACCGACATGATACGTAATTCTTGTGGCTTGTTCAGGATTGAATGAATGTTACTTTAAAATCAAAATAATCAGTAGTGATGTATATGTAAGCTTATAGAGTTCTTCTCGGGACATTTCTTGTCAAACATGACATATAATCAAAGTCACAACTTTTTTAATCTTCAAAGTAAAGCTTTGCAATTACAATATTAAGAGAGCATCTATAAAATCATCACGCATATCAACTGCTGAAATTTTTATAACTTTTCGACGATGTCGTGAGAAATCTCGTCAGTCGTTATGGCTTTTTTTAAACGAACCAACATGTCAAAACTTATGGACTTCAATTTTTTTTTGTTTATAAAATTTTTAACGACAAAATAAACTTTATATAGAGGTTTTATAGAGTATCAAAAGGAGCATCTTTTGTATGGGAAAAACTGAGAGGATGTGTCTATAAATTCCAGTATGTTATCGTTTTCTGTGATCACCCATACGCTCATCCTTCATTCTCAAGATGGTTAGTACTTTAATTTTGTCTTACCAAAGATGAACATAGAAATTCTAATCAATGTATGAAAATAATCTGATGATCGTGATTCTTTCAATCCAAAGATTATTATACTTGGAGTAGTTCTCTTTTTCTCTCCACTTTTGAATATTTATTCAAAGAAAAATGTATTAAACTAGGGTGTGAGTGATAAGGTCAATTTAAACACCCACACCCACACCCTCAGTAAAGTAAAGAGAATTGAATAGATTATAATGACATCTATTCAAAATTTCATAAAGAAAATTATTTTTTTTGTTATTTAATGAAAATTACAATATTATTTGCATTTCAACTGTTAATATAAAACACAAAAGATCAATAAAATAATCATAACTCATCTTCTTTAAAGAGACTTATTTTTCATTCAATGTCAATGAATATTAAACTATTTTTATGACGAAGATCTCTTATCTATCGAAAAAAGGTTTTCTTCGTTCTTCTACTACCTACTGATATCTATCTATCTTGACTCATTTTGTTTTGTTTAAATAAATACACAGATAGAATGATAACAAATATTCATTTCTTCTTCAAATTCTCCAACAAATAGCAACATCAAAGAATAAAATACAATGTTTTGTGTGTAATAAAGAGAAAAATACATACAGTTGTAAAGGATGTTCAAATGAGTTCTGTTTTCCACATTTAAAAGAACATCGACAAAGAATCGAGACACAATTGGAGGAAATTATTAATGATCACGATCAATTTCAACAAACAATTATTCAACAAAAACAAAATCCAGACATTTCTCCTTTGATCGACCAAATAAATCAATGGGAAACAAATTCAATTCATCAAATTCAACTAACAGCACAACAATGTCGGAAAACAGTGATGAAATCGACACAAAAAAACAACAATGATATGGAAAAAAAGTTTATTGAATTATCTAAGAAATTAAAAGAAATTCGTGAAGAAAATGAGTTTAATGAAATTGATTTAAATCATCTTCAATTAAAATTAACACAAATTACAAAAGAATTTCTTCAACTATCAAATATTTCTATTCGACAAGATTTACATGAATTTATCGAAAAAACTTCACTTACTATTTCATTATTCGGTATGTGTATTCAATTATTTCATTTCGAGAAAAGAGAAAACGAAGTATTTTTTTCAAGCTTTGTTGTATTAGAAATTAATTTTATTAACGAGATTTTGTGAGACAAATTTCAAATGTTGAAAATGGACAAACATAAGATCGAGAGAAAACTGTAAAAATACCTAAAATCTAAATGATTTGAATCTATATTTTGAGGATATACTGAGATCTATCAAACTATTCCAATCTGAAAGCAATTCTTCAAAATTATTAATTATGAAAAAAGGTAATCTGTGTAGTAGACAGTGTCGAATGTCAGAATATCATTTTATTATTTTATATATAGGTGAATATATTTTAATTGGAGTGACAGCCATGGGTATGAGATGGATGTAATACTTATATTCACATCCATCCACACCCGATTCTTTTCGCTTTTTTAAATTCTAGAAATGATCAAAATTCAATAAAAAATTTATTTTCTTTCGATCAATCATATTTGAAATATTCTTTTCAATATTTTTATTTTGAACTTATCAAAATTCTATATGAAATATTTTATTTTTAATGATTTTAAATTATTTGTAAAAATTTAAAGGAAACTAGTTTGAAATATTATTTCAACAGATTAATCAATTAACAAAATGTTTTATAAACCCGTTACTTGGTTTTTGTTTTTTGATAAAGTTATTTTTAATATAAAATTCAAATACAAGTTTTTCTTCTGATTTTCGCTCTTTTTTGATTTGAAAATAATAAAAAAAATTTGAATGAAATGAAAATGTTATATTTTAGAACAAATTCAAATAAAAAAGAATAAATTTCAACAATTTGGAATTACTGTTGCTGGAGGAAATGGAAAAGGAGAGAATTTAAATCAACTCCGTTGTCCTTATGGGATTTTTATTGATAATGAGAAATCAATTTATATTGCTGATTTTCGGAATCATCGTATTGTTAAATGGAAAGTGAATTCAAATACTGGTCAAATTATTGCAGATGGAAATGGAAGAGGAAATGAAAATAATCAATTGAGTTGTCCAACAGATATCATTTTTGATAAAGAAAATAATTCTTTTATTATTGCTGATCAGGGAAACAAACGAGTTATTCGATATTTTGATAATAAGCAAACAAATCAACAAATTATTATTTCAAATATTAACTGTTATGGTCTAACAATCGATAAAAATGGATTTATTTATGCTTCTGATTATGTGAATCATGAAGTAAGACGATGGAAACAAGGGGATACAAATGGTGAATTGGTTGCAGGTGGAAATGGTAAAGGAGATCATCTCAATCAACTCAATGAACCTACTTATATCTTTATTGATGAAGATGATTCTCTTTATATATCAGAGTGGGGGAATCATCGTGTGATGAAATGGAAAAAAGATGCAAAACAAGGAATTATTGTTGCTGGTGGAAATGGTTATGGAAATAGTCTCAAACAATTATTTCATCCTTGGGGAGTGACTATTAATCATTTGGGTCAAATCTATGTGGCAGATTTGAAAAATCATCGAGTGATGCGTTGGTGTGAAGGAAATGAAGAAGGTGAAATTGTTGTTGGTGGAAATGGAAGTGGAAATCAATCAAATCAATTGAATTTTCCCGCAGCTTTATCATTTGATAATGAAGAAAATCTTTATGTTGTTGATTTTGGAAATCATCGAATCCAAAAATTTGAAACAATTTTAGATTAAAAATATTTTTAATTTAATTTAATAAAATTTCAGTTTTTATTTTTGGAAATAAGTAAAAAAAAATTAATTTGTGGAAAATCTTCTATAAAAATAAATAAATTTGTTTTTCATTTTTAAAAGAACAGTAAATAAGAATATTTGTTAGTTTTAATTTTAAACCGAAAACAAAATGAATAAAATCATTCGGATTGAATTTTTGTTGAATGAATCAAATAAAACGAATTCGAAAGAAAATTCAATTAGTAAAAGTTCTATTTTTATAGTAAAATTAAATAAAATACTTCTCAAATCGAGAAAAACATTTAAATTAATAAAAAACCGTCTAAATAGAAATTCTATTAGATTTTTGTGATTTTATGATTTATTGAGAAAAGTGGAAGAAAGAAAAGAAAAAAGTTAAATGAATAAAAATGAAATCTGTCAAAATCGTAAAATCAGATGAAGAAAATCTATTTTCTAAAAGAAAAAAATCATTGGAATAGAAGTAAAAAATTAGAAAAATAAACAAAAGATCAAATTTGTTTTATTTTATTAAAAAATCAAAACGGAAAAAAAAATAAATTTCAATTGTTTAATAAACAACTTCTCATTTATTTAAATACATCTTTTTTATCAATAAGAATATTTAGAAATTATTAAAAAATTCTTTTCGTGAGATTCTATTAAATTGTTGTTTGATTTTTCTCATTGGAAAAGAAAAACAAATAAAATATATTTTTATATAGTTTCATTAATCAACAAACTAATTCACAGAATTTAATTAAAATAATGAAATGATGAAGAAAAATTGAATGATTTTTTTTATTATATTGACAAAGAGAAGAAAACAAAACGAATCTCTCAATTAAATGATCATTCAACAAATTAATAAATATTTAATTGAAATTCAATATTTAACAAAAGAAAATAATTCAAATGATTTCATTAGAATATTTTATTTCACTTTTACAATTAATTATTTCATCTTATTCTCAAAAGTAGCAATATTTTCGAGTCAAATTCGTTGATATCATCACTTTTATGTTCGATAAAACGAATGAATACATATTAAATGAATTAATTAATTTCTCTGATTGACTAAATTTCTTTTCTTTACTCAATAATTGTCAACTTATTGAAAAACAATATATTTATTCATTATAGAATTCTGAAGACGAACAAATTATGAATAGAAAAACAAATGTAAATCAGTTCATTGACAGATCTGAATTTTTCTTTGTGTTAGCGAAATTATTTAAGATTAATATTATCATTGATTATTCAATTTATGAACTAAAAAGGATTGTTTTTGAACGAACAAGACATGAATTGTTTAATTTAAAAGACATTTTTTTCATTATTTCATTGAAATGGACTTAATATTTTTAAAATTTTTGTCCTTAAAAAAATAAATGTTTAGGATAATAGAATGTTTTGTGACTTTCATCAGAGGGTTATATTAAAAAATCTTAATTTGAAGAAAATTTTTAATACTATCTGTGGGATCTATTATGGACTTGATTATGAGAAGCTTTGGAGTAGCATCAGAAGCATCATAGTTACTGTCCTGTCCTCTGTTTTTATTCGTATTACAATTTTCTTTTTCTTTTTTTGAATTACTCTTTTTATTATCCATAACTATCAGTTGTCTGTTTTTATCTTGTATTTAAACTGAAACAATTGAAGTTGCGCAATTACATGGAAGAAAGAAAAGAATAAAAAAAAATAATTTTTTATTGTAATTCTTTCTTTTTTTCCTTGTATCTGTTGATATAAGGTAATTTCTTAGATGACTCACAGTCTAAACACAAGAAAAAAAGAATAGTTTTGTAATATAACTTTACGTTGCTTATTTACAGGATAAGAGGAGAGAATATTCAGAATACACTAGTCGAAATGTGCGTAGTTCGGAAAGAAATCAAATCCGCAACTCTAAAACGGGTTACCAACGTACAGTTAGACGCGTGTGTGTGGATGTCTCTTCTCTTTATCTACTATCCACACTCTCACACAAAATTATTCACCCACATTCAAATATTCTTGATGTAGAACCCATAGGAAATTATGTGTTTTGTTGCTTCATTCTGATGTGATCATCGTTATTAATGGCATCGACTGTGTTTTATAGCGTCTATTCTTTCGCGGAATGTATTTAAATGTTTTTTTTTATAGCAGCAGCCACATAGGAAGATAAGGTTTTTTTCTTTTGCTTACTCATATGTCTTCAAATGTAATGTTAAAGTGTTGTTCTCCTTTTCATAAAAAGAAAAAAACACTACTGGTTGGTTACTTACTATATTTTTATGTTGTTGTTGCTTTTGAATTCTTATCATTTTTTCAGATTTACCAACTTTACTTTTTGTTTGTCGGTTGCGAAAAACAACTTCGTCATTTTAATAAACTAGCTTCATCACTCGCTTCCAATATACATTAAAAAGTAAAAAATATTATCAAGCATTCAAGCACATTATTCATTCGATTCAAATTATTGTGGACGTGGTGAGTTTTTGACTGTTTTCACGCTGCATATTAATATTAATATTTCATCTGATCAGTATTTCACATAAATATAAACAATCTTCTAACTTGAATTAACAGATTAAAGATAGACTAATTAGTTACTTTGTATAATTTATGAAGATTCTTCATATCATTTGTAATAATATAAACAAATCTAAGTAAAAAAGAATCGATTGATTTGATATTTATTTAGTAGAACTATTATTTTGTCATGAATCATCAAATGCTGTTTGATAGATTATTTCATATTATAATTAAATCTTCACGAAATAGCTCTTTTTTTATTCTTTTAACACATTTATTTATTTTGTTCATTAGAAGCAGTCATTTCTATGTGATATAAAGGGGGTGATCCAAAATGATGAATTTTTCCACCGTCTAGAAATGTCATAATACGAAAGTCCTTTTCACCTAGAACACGAATCTGACATCCGTTTGTCTAGATCTGATCCTTTTTTTTTACCAATTTCCATAGGGGACTATCTGAGTCTAGTATAGGGTAGTTTTATGGGATGTCAAACAAAGTATCTAGAAAAATTTCTGGGAAAATTTTCTTTTCCCTCAAACTTTGTAGAGCTTCTTCTGCTGATCATTTTCGTATAAGGAAGTTCTGAATTCTATTGAGAAATAACGACACTATCGTCAAAATACAAAACATAGTAAAATAGCTTAAAATCTCATTTTTTTTCCTTATAAATATAGGAAAAAGTCGAGTCTCTGATCTCGAACCGAGTGTATTCTCAGGAAATATGACATAGTAAGTTTTATAGAGCATAGTTTTCTCTACAAAACCTACTATGTCATATTTCTTGAGAATATAGTGGGTGCGAGATTAATGACTCGACTTTTTCCTATATCTAAAAGAAAAAAAGGGATTTAAACTATTTTACCGTATTTTATTATGTTTTGTATTTTGACGATAGCGTCGTCATTCCTCAATAGAATTCAAAACTTCCTTATACGAAAATGATCAGCAGAAGAAGCTCTACAAAATCTGAGGGAAAAGAAAATTTTCTGAATGCTTTGTGTATTTGTGTTTGAAATCCCATAGAACTATCCTACTGAGACCCACATACTCCCTATGGTAAACACGGCAAGAAAGGGATCAGATCTAGACAAAAGGATATCGGATTCGTGATCTGGGTGACCAGGACTGTCATATTATGACATTTCTAGACGGTGGAAAAATTCATCGTTTTTGGATCACCCCCTTTTTAAACTCATTTTTTTTCGTTTATTCGAGGATGTGAGTGTATGTATGGAATGATTCAATACCGATATCTACACTTCATACTCTAGTCACCAACACTCTGGTTTTATTAACACAATACGATAGCGTAAGAACGTATTCTCTATGCATCACGTTGTTGAGATTTATAATTGATAAGAATACTACAAGGAAACGCACTCGACTAATTAATACATTTTATTTAAATTCAATTGTGATGCTAATTTTAAAAACGAATTGTTCTATCTTATTTGCAGACTATTCATTGGCCTTGTTACTCAAACATATTCTTTCATACAAACATGGCTACAGGTGGAAATGTTGACTCACAACAATACACACGTGTATCGGATATTCTTAAAGAACCACAAAAGATGCTCATGCCAATTCGAGGGTACGAAGAAATGCCAATAGTATCATTGGAAGAAGCTGTTACACCACTTGTTTCGATTTTACCTGAAATTCAGGATTATGCTTATGTTGCGAAACAACGATGTGAATCCGTACCTCCTGATGGTTTAACACAGGATGAATCGGCTTCAATCATGCTTTACTCAATGGAATGGAAACCACATGAAAAATGTTTATATTTTGCCCTCAATGCAACTCTTCGCACTGAAGATAGGCGAAAATTAGAACGATGGTTTTCGTATTTAAAACTTATTCTTACGGCACTCGAAAAACTACCATCCACGCGACGCAATGTGTTTCGTGGGGTGAATTTAGATCTAACTAATCAATATACTCAAGGAAAAACATTTGTCTGGTGGGGATTTTCTTCATGCACAACATCGATAGAAGTACTCGAAAACGAACAATTTCTAGACAAAACTGGCCAAAGAACATTGTTTACTATCGAATGTGATAGTGGCAAAGATATCAGTTGTCATTCGTATTATCAGTCAGAAAAAGAAGTTCTTCTTCTGGCTGCTCGACAGTTTATTGTAGTAGGCTATCTTCGACCAGCACCAGGTCTTCATATGATTCAATTAAAAGAAACAAAGCCTCCAATTACTCTTTTACAACCTGTTACAAATCAATCTGTACAGATTAAACCAACACCGGGTAAAAGAAAAAATCATTTCATCAGTTGAAATATTAAATTTTAAATACAGAACAATTTAGTAGAAAACTCTTTACGAGTCATAAAATTATGGTGCTAGCTCATTTTTCAAAAAGTGAATTTTCAGAAGATTCTTGGCTAAATTCTACATATGCTAAAATTTTTGCACATATTTATGGGGTAGCTATTTCTAAAACGCATGACAATCTCTTAAATAAGATATAGACAATTGTGCGCATATTTCATTCGATTATTGTTAGTGTGTTTTCTTTCTGAAGGAAACGTAAATCTACACGGTTCTCGAGCAAAACGTTATAAGACTGTGCCAATCAGATTTTTAGATCTTCCTGTCCCTAGTCAACTGTCCCCTGACGAATCTTTAAGGGAGTCGCCACGCAAACCACAATAGGGGATCACGACAGAAAGTTTTTACGGATTTGCAAGAAACTAGCGGAGTTCCTAGAGTTTTGCGAGAAAATGAAAGAAAGCTCCTAAGAATAGGTGTGGATATATAAAAAACTCACACTCCTTTTTATACAAATTAAATTAAAAAAATTATTTATTTTTCTATTATTGTTGAATAGAATCATTGTATTTTTTTTCATTAAGATTCTTATCAATCAAATCATTCTACAATTATTACAGCGACTATACCAAAGAATCCAATAACAACTCAATCTCAAATAAAACAAAGTATGTTTTATTAAATAAAAAATAGTTTTTTTTATCTTTAAAATTGAGATAGAACTTTTTCATAAATTACTTTGATTAATTAAGTAACGATTTAAATTAGTTTTTCAAATAGTATTATTTTTTAGATAAGAAATAACGATTTCTCTTGAAACAATAGTCATGCAATTATTCATAATTTGCTTCTTTTCTATTTTTATATCACTTAATATAATATTGAAGAGAGATTTCATCTATTGTTTTCCAGTTATTTTTTTCATTAAGATATTGAGAATATTATTAAATAAATATTTGAAATAAAAACTCTTTTGAAGAATAACAAAGCTATTTATTTAAAATATTTTTTATAAATTAATTTATATGAATAAGAACTAAACTTAAAATCGAAAGTTTTCTTTTCTAGTTAAAATAAATATTTTTCACAATTGAGAAATATTGTTTATAGAATTGTTAATCAAATTAATCATTTGGAAAGATTTTTAAAAATGAAAACAAACTTATAGTAAGAATTGACTATGCGTATTGAAAACTAAAACTAATTTTGTTTTTCGTCATAGAAATATTTTCATTATATTCGAATTAATTAATTAATTATTAAAAATAAAATTTATTTTACAAGTTATATCATTTCATCAATAGACTTTATTCAAAATATTTATCTATGTTATAAATATTTATTTCCTCTGAAACTAAACCAAAACTGCAAATCATTTTCTTAGTTATGTATTCAATATTTTAATTTTTTTATTTAATTAAAAATTATTTATTCAACTTGAGGGTATTGGCGTGGGTGTAGTCAAAAGAATATTTATTATCACCTACACTCAAATCCATACCCACACCCTCAAATAAAATAAAAATAATTTTCATTTAGAAACATTTTCCGAAGTCAAACTTTTTTGTAAAAATCAAATAGGTTTTTTGAATTCAAAATCTTAATTCAATCAAAAAGTTGTTTAAAATTAATTCTATTTCATCAAAAATTAAATTTCACAAAATGAAAACTTTATTTTTATTAGAATAAATTCATATACAAGTTTTTCTTCTTATTTTTGTCCTTTTTTATTTGAAAATAATGAAAATGACTTTGAATAAAAAGAAAATCTTTTATTTTAGAACAAATTCAAACAAAAAAGAATAAATATCAACAATTTGGAATTACTGTTGCTGGAGGAAATGGCCTAGGACATGAATTAAATCAACTCAATAGTCCTAAAGGGATGTTTATTGATAACGATAAATCAATTCATATTGTTGATTCTGAGAATAATCGTATTGTTAAATGGAAAGTGAATTCAAATACTGGTCAAATCATTGCAGATGGAAATAGACAAGGAAATCAAAATAATCAATTGGATTCTCCAGAAGATATAAATTTTAATGAAAAAAATAATTCTTTTATTATTTCAGATTGGGGAAACCACCGAGTAATTCGATATTTTGATCAAATCCAAACAAATAAACAAATTATTATTTCAGATATTCATTCTTTTGGTCTTACAATCGATAAAAATGGATTTATTTATGTTTCTGATTGGAAGAATAATGAAGTAAGACGATGGAAACAAGGACATGAAAAAGGTGAATTGGTTGCAGGTGGAAATGGTAAAGGAGATCATCTTAATCAACTCGATTCTCCTACTTATATTTTTATTGATGAAGATTATTCTCTTTATATATCAGATCGTGACAATTATCGTGTAATGAAATGGAAAAAAGATGCAAAAGAAGGAATTATTGTTGCTGGTGGAAATGGTTATGGAAATAGTCTCAAACAATTGTCTCAACCTCAAGGAGTGATTGTTGATGATTTGGGTCAAATCTATGTGGCAGATTGGGGGAATGATCGAGTAATGCGTTGGTGTGAAGAAGATAAAGAAGGTGAAATTATTGTAGGTAAAAATGGAAGAGGAAATCAATCAAATCAATTGCATTATCCCGCAGGTTTATCATTTGACAATGAAGAAAATCTTTATGTTGCTGATTGTTACAACCATCGAATCCAAAAATTTGAAAAACTTTGAATTTAAAATGTTTTTAATCTAATTTGATTAAACTTCAATTTTTATTTTTGAAAATAAATAAAAAACATTAGTTTCTGAAAAATCTTGAAGAAAATAAATAATTTTTTTCGTTTTGAAAAAAAAAAATAAATATTTTTTAATAATTTTACTTTTAAATTAAAAAATCAAAATGAATAAAATAATTCGGAAAAGGTTCTTATTAAATGAATCAAATGAAAAGAATTTCAAAGAAAACTCAATTAAAAAAAGTTCTATTTTTACAGAAAAATCAAATACAATATCTCTTAAATTGAGAAAAACATTTAAATTAAAAAAAACTTGTAAATAACAATTTTATTAGATTCATTTTTATGATTTTATGATTTATTGAGAGAAACGGAAGAGAGAAGAAAACAGATAAATGAATAAGAATGAAATCTGTCAAAATTGAAAAATTAAATTAAATAATCATGAAGATGATAAATATAAAGAAAGTATAGTTTTTATTTGCTTTTTATCCAAATACTGAAATTTATTCTATTTTATATATTATTCAGAAACAAAACTGAATATAAATATCTTTTTCATGAAAAATTAAATATAATTGATATTTTGGATAATTTCAATCGATTAGTTCTATTAATTGAAGAATAAAAGTGAGTTTAATTAATAAACAATATTAAAAATGGACATTTTTTAATCAAGAAAATTATTTATTTGAAGATTTATTAAAATAATTAAATGGTTTTCTTCAGATATAACTATTTCGTCAAGCTATTTTACGTCTTGTACAAGATGAATGAGAATAATATCTACATCCATCCTTTTGGTATTAATCTTGAGTAGAAAAATCAAGTATAGATGTCTGATGAAGTCGATTGGACAAGCAAAATCTTTTGCTTACTCAGAATCTCTTTTCACCAAATTTATTCTTCACATACACTCTCGCTTTTTTCTGCGAAGTGACTATACATACAAGGACGAAAAAGAATGGCAAGAATAATAAAACTGCATTTAACGTTTGTTTGTTTCATTGTCAGTCTTTCTTTCTTTCTTTCTTTCTTATATTTGCATTTTACATGACTAACTATATATCATCAATAGACCTTCTTTTCGCGGAATGATTTGAAATCAAAAGAAGCCACATGACTATTCTTTTTAGATATAATCGAAAAGAAATTACTTCCCTCATATGGGACACCATCTTGGGTGTGGTTGTGGGTGGGTGTGGGTGGGTGTGGGTGTGGGTGTGGGTGAGGATGTGAGGGTGGGTGAGGGTGTGGGTGTGGATAAGAAAATACATAAACACACGCTCACACACAAGTTCACACCCACACCCCAAATATATAGCAAATATTCAGAGATTCCTGAAAAAACTAAGATGGTT